GTTTTTACTGTACCATTTTTACAGTCTTTTACCGTTAAATTCATGGTAATTTTTTACTGTGATTAACACACTTTAAAATAACGGTTTTCTGTTTTCTATAAGCTAAATTTTCAGCATCATTACGCCAGTCTTCATTGTCACACGATTCTTCAGATATCATTCTAATATGCTGATATGGTGTTAATGAAACATTTTTTCTTATTATCATTATTAAAAACAATTGTGCTGCTTCATATTTTTGTGGAAAACATGATGACATTTTTTTTCAAGATTTTTGACAAATAGAAAGTTTAAAACCTAATTTATACAAAACAGAAATCTTTTATAAAGAGCTTTACTTTTAATAAATGTAATGCATCCTTGCTGAATAAAACAATCTATATAATACACATACACAAATAAATCTCGATCATCAATTTTATTTGTTCTCAAACTCGTGTTCTTTTTTCTGTGATCATAATTCAGCACTATAAAGGACTCAAGACAAATTTAGGAATTAAAGGAGAACCATTGCTCGAATATGAAAATTAATTCCATTTTAATCATGAGTTCCATTTAATATAGGGTTTGGAACAACATAAGGATTTTAATTTGTGCGAGAACTACTATGTTGTGTTTCCAAAAACCTGTAAGCAGTGTTGGGGAGTAACTACTTACATATCATAGAATTACGTAATTTAATAAATGTAACTGTAATCTATTACAGAAAAAATGTGTAATTGAATTAGTTACTTCTGAACATGTTAAAGATTAAAAAGAGGGTTACATCTGAATATTTGCACACACTTACAGATTTGATTTATTTCTTTCCCAAATTGCACTGACTGCTCTTAAATAAGACACCAATGTTTCAGGTGTAACTGTTTTATTTCCTATTTGGGTTTGTGTAACTACTAAACTATATCTAAACTATATCTTATGGTTTTAAAACTGTATTTAACCTCAGAACTATCTCAAAGTAAAAAGAGGTGCATTGTGGTGGCTTTGCTTTAAAATGAAATTATAATTTCATT